TTTACTTTCCAACTTGTCCGGTGTGTTCCTTCCCGGGTGTTCTTCGCTGCAGTCAGCTCCTCGGAGCGTTTGGTAAGGCCCTCGGTCTTACATACATATTTATTTTACTTGTTCTATTTTTCTATTTCCTATAGGTGTGTAACATATTTATTTGTTACACAAGTTATTTGTTTAATTATATGGCACATATATTCTCCTTGGTTTGACTCCGGTCAACAGAATACATAAGAAAAACCACTTTAAAAGAGTCCATTTTAAGTGAATGAAACATTCTTAAATATAGATTAATTTTTTTTAATACTTTTGATATCCCTTTGAAAATCAAAGTGATTTAGGAAAGAAATAAAATTTCTCTACAGGAAAGACTTGAGTGCTATTTTAGGGCCATTTTGAAACTATTAAATGCAAATGTTTCATTTTGATAATATTTTAAATACTTTACATTTGAATGATAAATAATATCTGACAAAAATAGATGGAGAAATTTACAGCCAAATTTACTCTATGAAGATGAGGGTAAATATCTAGCTGCTCTTTAGGGCCTCCATAAAAGGTAGATTTTGATTGATTACTGTTTTATTTTACAGATGAAAGTACGGCTCACGAAACACTGAAGGAATTCCTGATGATGGGCAAAGTTTTCACTGAAGATATTTATATTTGTAACAATCTCTTCCTGTGTAACACTTAATTTTCCCCTACTTTTTTTGTTCTAAAAGATTTATGATCATGAGCATTAACTCATACCCCACTGCATAAAGACACATTCTGAATTTTTATCTGTTGTTGAAATGTGGGATATTTGCTAAACATAAACACATTTTTTTCCCTCTGTACATTTTTTGATGTTGAGAGGAAAAGATCTGACCATCATTTTAATTATCTATTCATATATTTAAAAATTTTTGTAACTGAAGTTTTTCTTGTAGAAAGGAAAATGTTATCTTTTTGCTTTGTAATTAAAAAATAAAGGGGCAAATGTGTACGAGGATAATGATTTTCTATCACTATTAGGCTTGCAAAAATTCAAACTTGTGACCTTAAGCTGATAAACTTGAGTATTCTTCATCCAATAGCAATCTTGTGAGTTTATTTATTCATCATTTAATTGTCTTAAACTAGACTAGTGACAGTCTATATTACTAATTTGGAAAAAACATTTGCTTTGTGAAAACAGGAAAATAATTAGCACCACAATCTAATTCTTTAAGTTAGGCATACATAATAAAATGTTTTGGTTAAGATATAGTTTCTTGAATGAGATTGACCTTCAAACAAATATTGGATTCCCAAATATCACCATGAAGATCTTGAAAAAATTATTTCATTTTTCTGGGCCTTGCTTCCTTATCAGTAAATGGAATCAATATGGATATGATTACACAGTGCTTTGAAAAGTAAACAAACATTGTTTGTAAACTGTACTCTGTAAACCAAGAGACTTAGTTTTTACTGAAAGTTACAGTTAACAGCTTTCAAGCAATAATAATAATAATATTATAATAATAGGAATGATGTAGGTACCTCAATAAGAGGTATATAAAATATTAAATATTCATGTTATGAACTTCTATATGACATAAAATGAAACACTTTTCATCAAGTGTAGAAAAATATAATGTTAATTAGGTAAATGAGAATAGACAGTAATATACATACAAAAATATATATTTTTGAATATGTTTAATGTGTCAGGAATTTAAAAAACTCTTGCTAAACTTGTATTTTTGGGGAATGTTAATGGAGCATTGAAAGTAGAAATATATATGTATATATACATCAGTGTATATATATATGCAGCATTTATATATCACATATGTACAGAATGAACTGATATATACCTACATATGCATACACTAAGTATGTGTGTATGTATACATGTATATACACACAAACACACAATAAGAAATAGTTGTAAGGACAAAATAAAAGACTTGGAGGTTAAATTGTAAAAATTGTAGCCCAGAAAAAATCACAACCCTTTGTTCTTCTGTTTCTTCTCACCTTTCTCTTCGAAGTCATCCTATTCTAACTTCTATTGATTCTCTGACACTTTCCAAGGCTCTAACTAACAAGAAAACTGTTTTAAAAATCAAATTTAAGGCTTGGGGAGTAGAAGAGCACTTTTCTAACAGGTGGGAGACCCTAAGTTTATTACCCAGTACCACAAAAGAGAGAAATAAAAAATTTAAAGTAAATGGTAATCCTATGTAGACAGTAATAGAATTACTGAGACTATATATTTTTTTTTTTGGTACCGGGGATTGAACTCCGGTCCTTGCTCTTGCACAGCAGGCGGCAGAACCACTGAGCTAAATCCCTGGCCCTCCTGAGACTATATTAATAAAAATTATAAAGAATAACAACTTCAAAAGAAATTTAGATTAAATAGTAGAGAATAATTCATAATCATATCCACTTACAGTAAAGACTATGTGGTCAATGATTCAATCTTGATGCCTTTAAATAAAAGTGCTATATTTATAAAATCAGAAAAGTTTATGTCTTTTATTTTTGATAAAAGCATTAAATTAATTTTTATAACCAGATCATTTGCTTTACTTTAATCTCAGATTCAAAAAATGATTCTTACGTTGTTTTCTGAAAAATGTTGTATCTTCTTTCTGTGGTTTTGAATACTTTTTCAGGTAAGTTAGATATTCTTTATCTGAGATTCTCAGATGCCTAAAATTTTGTTAAGGTAGTATTGAAGTTCTAGCATAATATTTTAAATTGTCCACTGGAAACAACAGAGTTAATAGTAAGCTATCTAAATCAGACAACCAGGTAGTAATTTGACAGAGATGTTGTTGATTTTAGCTATTTTATCAATATGTAGTGATAATCTTTGTACAATTTGTTTACTTATAAGCTACCTTTAAAGGCATGTTTATCTTTAATTTAAAAATTAGAAAATATTTATATGTTTCATAGATTAGTTATGACATGAGGTACAGTTTAGAAAAACAATCTGTAAAAAATTTACATGTGGTATGTATAGCATATAATTTCTTTGATTTTATTTTTTGTTTCATGTTGCATTTTAACCCTTGACTCTTTAGAGTTTGACAGATTATTTTTCACAAACTGGTTTTCTGAAATTCTGTCCCCAAGAACTTCTATGTAAGCCTAAGAGTAACTTTAAGTGAAGTTCAATATCATATGCAAAGAGCATTGATAAGATCCCTATGTCATAAAATTGGATAAAATACTTTCAGAATGCTATGTCATGACAGAAAAACATTTTACCATTTTATATTGGTTTACTTTTTAAGAAAATGAAACTATTTTGTAAAGATTAAGAATGAAAATGTTTTATTTTAGTGAAAATTAAATTACTTTATAAAGTGATTTTAAAACAAATTTATAGCTTCATCATTCATGTTGTCTCTTTTCCTTACATGTCATCTTTAGCTAGGCATCAAACTAAAATGATATACCTTTTTTAATCAGTCTTTCACTAACAGGCCACTCTTATAACTGTATGCTGTACTTGTATATAGTATATCAGCATGTATGAACTCGACACTTAGATCACAAGATACGACACCCATTTTAATGGCGTTTATCTGAGTCACAGAAATTATATACTAAAATTACAGTGGGTGCTCGGATTCTGAGAGTTCACTAGAGAAATAGCTGAATGAAGCTTTGTTCACCTTCAAGAAGGAAATTCTATCAACCTTTTGGCATAGAAGATAATAAAGAGAAGCACAAAATTCAGTTTGCTTGGCATCCTGATAAGGATGATAAATTAGTACTCATTTTTATTTGGAGGAAATAAAACTAAAGTGACAAAGATCTTATGAGCACCAGCTCTTCTAAATAGCTTAGTGCACGGACACACACACATATGTGTGTGTTGTCACAGTTCGTGACTGTGGCACAATGCAAATGATGAGATTACTCAGAGTCCTTGTAATGCTTTACCTCCAAGAGGGCCCGGAGGGACTGCCTTGACTGAGAACCCTCAGTGTGAGAGTCACAGGAAAAAACAGCCCTGAACTGAAGCTTAGACAGCTTTTTATTGGTAGAACTAGGAACCAAGAATAAAGGACAAAAGAAGGATGTTTATGCAGGAATTTATGTAGAGGACAAAGGAAGTACAGAGGAAGGTCAGGGCTGTCTGCATGACTGACCTTATGGCTAATCTAAATAATAAATCAGAGTATGAGGAGGACAAGGGCCAGAGCATATACTCCTTAAGGAAATGTGTTTTGATCCTACTTGGACTTGCTTTGTGGCCCTGTAGTGGCAATCTCTCAATCTCAAATCATGCATTCCAGGAGGTTTTGTATTTGTGGCCCCAAAATTCCCTTATGTTTACATATCATTCTCATACATACCTCTGGATAAATCTCCCACAGTGTGTGCTGACAGTTGACCCAGTACATGGGTTCAGATATGCTAGACAAGCATTTTACCACTAAGCTACATACCTAGCCCAACTTAAGAAATTTTTAAGACTCAATTCCACCATGTTTTGTTTTATTTCTCATTTGTTGTAGATCATAGACTAGAGAGATCTGGGGATACAAGTAAGAATAGAATCTACCCTAGCCTCCGATCATAGGTGGTCACAATAATATTTAAACAGATATTAACAACTAATTTCAATAAAATGTGTTGTCTTTCTGAGTTGGAATGTGACACATAGACTCATCCTGGATCTACCCAGTTAGTCATGTGAAGATAGATTATTAAATAATGAGAAATTTTTACAAAGCAGTTTTGGAAGCTTGAAGTAGGGTATAGAGGGAACTTGTATACCCTGTATATTGATACATGCTAAAATTTTAAAATTTAAAGATTTTAAATAAAATGTAATCAAGGAGGGATAGAAAGAAACAAGTGGATAGATCTTTTACAAGTGAGAAAGAGTCTAAGAGAACATGGGTGAGATGAGGGGGAAGGGAAGGGGAAATAAGTAGAAAAAATATATGCCATGTACAGGAACCTAATTAAGGAACTAAATGAACGTAACATTATATCTCATAAACATGAAATATGATTAGTAATATCAATAAGAACAAAAATGGGGAAAAGGATTTAGAGGAGGAAGGAGGGAGGCAGGTAGGACTGGGAATGGGATTAAAAAAAGAATCAAGCTGTATCATATGCATTACCTACTCCCCAAGATGATTGCAAACAGCATGTCCTACAAATATGTGCTAATAAAAATAAATAATTGAACTTTAGTCATTTAAGAATGAATACAAATTTTCGCTGTTTATCTGAAATTAAAATTTAACTGAGTATACTACATTTTATTGTATAAAAGGGGTGACTCTGTTCTCTAAATTTTAGTCTGAACCTCAGAATGGTTATAGAATTTTGGAGAGGTTATAAACTTTTCAGATTTGTAATCCAAGTCAATAGGTGAAGATATCACATGTTAATCTGATGGCTTTCTGTGGAAAGTTACAGAAGCTTACAGGTTCACCTCAAAAAATCCTATTTAAGACTATCTTTCTAGTATACTTTAAACTTGAAAAAGGGGAAAATCCATTTTAAATTGAAAAATATAACCATATTTCTCAGTGAAACAGTACATAATAATCTTTCCACAAACAAATAGAAAGCCAAATAAGAAAATAATCCAAACTTATAAAAGTGTTATATTTAGAATGTTGATTAATATATAGATCTCTAAATTGTAATGCAAAAATTTAAATTAAAGCTTTTATATGAGATCCCAATGTAATTCTTTGAGATTCCAATATATGAGTTTGATTTATTAAAAACAATTTGTTTTAATATCTGCAAGACTTGTTCCATGGAGGCTGTGCTTTACAATAGATAGACTGTAGGATTTAGGATTTGTCTATTTTAATTTGCACTTTGTCCTCATTTCCCATCCATTATGTGATTTCATACAAGTTACTAATTTTCTGAGTCACAGTTTTTCTAAAATAAAGGTGAGCAAGACTTTCCTCATACAATTGTAAAAGGAAGTTAATACATACAAAACCCAGAAAATTGCCATGCACAAGCTATGAACAGCATTCATTATGAACAAGATGCTATTATTGTCATTATTACTAGATAAAGGAAAAAGGAACAATAAGCTAACTGTAAAAATATGAAAAATGTTTAATAGAAAATCCATGTAATTGCTTGCTATGTTAAAACATAGTATAGAATTTTTATAGTTTGTTAGTATTTATGCAAGGAGACCATGAATTGAACTAGGAGAGTCAGGAGAACAATGTTACTATCTGCCCCTAAAAACCTCTGAGGAATATATCTTTTGCAATGCATGGCAATAAACTGGTGGAAAGACAAAAGCGCACACTTTTATGTGAAAAGCATTATTTATGAGACAGGTTTTTAAATATGAATGTTGTGAAACATCTCTGTACCTAAATGTAGAAGTTCAGATTTACTAACAATTGTAGAAGAAATCCTTAAGAAGTCTATAATACCAATCCTATTGTCTGTTAAACTTACAGAATACAAATCAAACCACAAATTATAAATTGATTTAATAATGAAATGAAGGCCTTTTATTGGACATTTAAGAAACACTGTTACGTTAGATTAAGAGTTTTGGGGAAGCATAACCTGAATTTTGTTCATTGATAGGTTTCTGACTTTAACTAGGATGATACTTTTAGTAGGTCTATTTCCTGTGGAATATATTATTTCTTCTTTTCCATCATAATACACAAGCAAATGAGATAATTTCTAACAGAATACTAGTATTGTAGCTTTTAAAACAACAATAACAATCATAGTGATATTCGTTTTGGGTTTTTTTAAATTTTTAATGTAATACTAATAGATATTAAGAAAGAAAATATAAAAGCTGTTCTACAAAAAAATAATTTTTCAAAACAAATTTATTAGAGAATAACAATGGTAAATATACTGTGTATCATGATCTTAAAAGAATATATTTTCAATTGCTAATCTATCTCTCAGCTCACTTCCTAATAATACCATATCATTTTTGCATAAAACATTTCAATTATTAACAAAATATCTCACACTCAGTATAATTTGAACAATTTCTTCCTATTTCACTATATCTATTATTCTTTTTGGTCCTTATTTACACTTTCAGTTTCTCACCCCAGAAAGACAATATGATATTTACACATATGTGTTCGATGTGTTTCACTTAAGAGCAGTATTTCATAGTGGATCCATTTACCTAGAAGAAATGTCTCCGGTTTATCTTTCTTTTCTTTTCTTTCTGGTGCCGGGGATCGAACTTGGGACCTTG